CAGTGGGCAGCCGCAAGAGGAAGCTGGCAGCCAAAGCCTACCTACCGCTGCGGGCAAAGCGGCGGGCGGCTGAGCTGGCTGGACGCTGCCCCTCGGACAGCAGTGCAGAGGGGGCTTCAGGCCCCGAGCGGCCGGATGAAGGCATCGACAGCCACACGTTTGAGAGCATCAGTGAGGACGACTCGTCTTTGTCGCACCTCAAGTCCTCCATCACCAACTACTTCGGTGCGGCAGGCCGCTTGGCCTGTGGGGAGAAGTACCAGGTGCTGGCTCGGAGGGTCACCCCCGAGGGCAAGGTGCAGTACCTGGTGGAATGGGAAGGGACCACGCCCTACTGACTGGCCCTCGGGGCGGGGGGGGGTGTCAGGAGCCCTGCAGACCCTGCAGACCCTGGCAGACCAAAGGAGGGATAGCAGAAGCCATAGGTTTCCCAGTTTTCTGTGGGCTGCGGTGGGGGAGGGAAGCAGGGCAGAGCTCCAAGTGCCTGGCTGAGGTTAAGGTGCCCTTCCTGCCAAGGAAGGCCAAGGCCGTGCCAGTCCTGCCCGTGGGCCTCCTCAGGCATCTGCTCCCCTGCCTTGTCTCGAAGGCCCCACAGCCTGTCAGTGTCTCTGCACACTGCCACACCCCTTCAGCTCACTCTATGCTCCTCTGGTGTCCTGCCGGCTCTCTGACTTTCCTCCCAAGGCCTCCGTCTTCATCTCCAACTCTGAGTCCCTCTTCCTCTCTCACCCCTGTGAGTATGTTGGTGTGCACATCTGTCCCTCCACTGGATTCCTTCCTGCCTGCTCCATCCTCCGGTCATGGAGCCCACAAGGACTGTAGGATGGCTTGTTGTGGCAGACGCCCAGAGCCGAGGAGTCAACAGCGCCAGCACCACAGCCCCTCATGAAGGCTCCAAGAGCCAGTTTTGGAGTTCATGGAAGTCGCCTTTGCCCTGGCATAACCCCCCACGCCCCTACCCCATGACTTTGGTGCCATGGAATGGACCGCGGCTTTGCTCAGGAACCCGGAGGGTTCCTCCTCCCTCAGACCCACCACATACAACCAAACACAGCTAAGAAGTATCCATTACTTCACACTGATGCGTCCAGCTACACTTATCTCCACACAGCCTAACCCCCATCTGTCCCTGTTTACAGACACACACACAACTACCCATTCCCTCCAGGGTCGGCCTGGCTCCCGTCCTTGGCTTTTTCACAGCCCTTCCCAGGGACCATGTGCTGCAGTGAAATGTGAACCCCAACCCCAGCGCCCGTCTCCGTCTTTAGCCCAGGAGCCAACATGCCTGCCCGCCCCCTCCACCCCAGGAAGGCCCAGGAGACTCCTGGCCTCTGCCACACCCCCTGCTCGGATGAGACAGCGACAATCACTCTTGGGGATAGAATGGGACTTCTAGAGGGCCTGTACGGTCCAGTCTCCTCAGAGAGGATGCTTCTGTCAACATGGAACATTCCACAGGATTCCTACAACTAATGTTCAAACTTGGCCCCATCTGGAGGAACCAAAATTGGAAGGGGAGGGGGAGTTACCTCTCATCTTTGCTGCTTCCAGAGATACTAGAAACTGACTGCCTGATTGGAGAGTGGAAAAAGTGCCTTGACTGGGGACAGGGGAAACCGATGGGAAGCCAATGTCAGCAGCTGCTGCTCTGGCTCCCGGCGTGGCTGGCTTCTGCTTGTCCCCAAAGCCAAGGGGAAGGTCTGGTTCAAAGCCAAGGTGGGTGGGAATAGGCTGCAGCCCAGAGAAGATGGCTTTTCCCTGCTTAGGCCTACCTCCTCCCCGCTGAGTGGGCAGGAGTCCCTGAGGTAGGTTAGACGCCCCCTGCTTTATACTTCAACTCTTCTAGTGCCTTTGAAGAGACCTCACCTCCTGCACACAGCCCACCTGTGGGAAAACTGGGGTTGGGCCCAATGCTCCGCAGCCTCGGCTCCACAGCTGCTGCCACTGAGGCCCCCTGCCTGGAGCCTGTGGAGAAGAAAGAGGCCAGCCCCAGGCTCAGCAGGCACACAGCACCCACATCCAATCTATGGCTTCCTGCTGGCTCTGGGCCTGTTTTCAGGGTGTCTACACAAGCCTGGGTGAGCAGGGCCTATTCCAATACCTTCCCTACTCAAACTCCCCAGAGGCTATTGAAAGGAGGGAAGCAGGTGCCTTTGCCACTTGGGAAGACAGCCCAAAGCCTATGAAGGTCACCCAGATTCCCACCCCAGCATTTCATTCATGCCAGATAATAGCTGCAATACTGCCAACTGACCTTATAGCCCTGTGCACCTTCTAAGATTTATGGTTTTGAATTGCTGCTTTTAATAACATTTGTTATATTAAAGATATAATGAATGTGTGTGGTTTACAGTGATCACTCTCTCCCTCTCTCTGAGAAACTGCCTTTCTTCCCAGTGGTGGCTTGTGGGCTGCTGGGAGACAGCAGCAACAGGGTCTGGCTCCTGCTCTTGGCTTCCTGGAAGTTAGGTGGCAGAGGCCAGAGTGATCCGGCCACCCGGCCATTCCTCTCACTGAAGGCAACCTTTCGCCCTTACCATCAGAGTGGTGGATTCCTTCCCCACTGCGAATAGGTACCGAACCCATGCAGAGAAAAGGCATCAGGTGAAGGTGCAGAGGTAAAACACAGGAAATGAACTTGGGCTCAGAACTGACTTGTTCCAGTTCTAACTGGACTTGTATTGCCAGAACTCTGGCCAGAGCCCTTTACTTCTGTTTTCTGAGCCCTCAGTGTCATGTTAGTGCCTGCCAGGCTCCTGATGCTGGGAGGGAACCCTGCACATACAAAGGATCTTTGAAAAGTTTGTGGGAAATGCATACTTTGGAAAGACCACGCATGGGTTTCAAAACGGATGGACTCAGGAAACAGGGGCCTCCTGGCTGAACGGCACGCACTGCTCTGTGGTGATTCAGTTCATTGTCTCCAAGTGCCTGACAACAAGAAACTGCCTACACTTCATTCTTCATACTCTGCTCCTTGTTATGGGGTCACTGGAAAAACATTTTTTAGTAGACATATTAAAATCTTTTTACAAAGAATTGTATATATTTAAAGACTGGGGAATGCCACAGAACATTTATTGGGTGGTATTCAAATAATGCAACATTCACGTATCCTAGAAAGGTTAACGGCAGCTGTAATCATTCCTTTGTCCAAATCGCCAATTCATTTTGTTTTCAAAATGTTTCTTAGAGCGCTACCCAAAGGATTTGTATAGAAAGTGTACATAATGTATATAAGAGTGTTCAGAGCATTAGCTTTGAGCCAAGCACACACATTTATAACATGGCATCAGCCTAAAAACAAGACCAAGTGACAGTGGATGACATTTCTCTCTTACATGCTCTTGTCTTGGTTCTCTTAACATCCAACTTGACAAACTGACGTTTCCTGTTCTTGGCTTGACCATAGTGGCCCAGAGAGCTGATCAACTTTGACACTGCCAAGGCAAAGGAAGGCCACCAACAGTTCTCTGATAACACACAGAATGAAGCACAGAAAATGAATCCATCAAGGCCACAATCCCCTTTGAAATAAATCCCACATGAAGACAATCCATGGAAAAGTTGTTGGGTTTTGCCTATCCTACAACTTCAAAGTAACCGGTTCTTGTAAAGATAGCTTTGGTTGTTGACATCCTGGAAACATTAGTTTTGTAGCCAGTTTGCAAGAGCTCAAAGATGTTCAGACATGTCTCCGGCCTTGAGCAGCTCGCAGTTGAGGAACATGAGGCTAACTGTGACACATAAAGATAACAAGCTCAAAGGCCAAAAGGATTTCCTCCCTGCAGGGAGCCAGTCAGCGCAGAGAGCAGGTAACACATCTGTGCAGATGGGCATTGCACCCAGGAGATCACAGCTGCCTGGGGACCCTTCCCCAAACTGCCTGCCATCGCCACAGGGCAGAGCTACCTGGGTCCGCTCTCTTATACCATATGGCTCTGCAGCTTCCACCTTCCCTGGTCTCTTCCTGCCTGTGGAGCAGGGACAGAGGAGCCCTAGTCCTGAGCTACCTGGGCTGTTCCACCTGCAGCCAACAAACCACCATCCTTACACCTCCCTGCCATTTGGCTTTCTCCAGTACTGCACCCACAGAGAGTGCCTTACAGCAGCAAGCTCACAAAGCCTTCCCAAACTTTTTATTAAACCATTTTAAAAAACACATTTTTAAAAAGTGTACCTGAGCACTGGTAGGAATTTGAGTGGGAGACCTCTGACCTTTACCCCTCTCTAGGCAGTCCCCACTGAAGAACACTGGCCTAGCGGTTTCCAGGTTCTGCTTCTGTGATTAAAGGAGAAGGCAGCAGAGTGGCTCAGAACTTCCTCACCATCACAATCTCGTGACGGTTATTGTAGATAAGGAAGGTATCAACTCCCAACTCCCAATCCAGGGTGCTGTGTCTCAGTGCTAATATTCCCCCACCCAGTCATTCCCAACACCACCTCTTTGGGATTCAGGAGCTACTAAGCCTCCAGATCAAAGAATAATCTTGACTCCTGGAATTCTGCCATTGGCAATGCATCTATCAGGATAGAGCAGTTGTCAGTATTCCTGGGAAGAGGCAACCAACCCCGCACCTCCAAGAGGAGTAAGGTCCTCAAGCCCATTCCTCCCCAAAAGAACAGGAAGGCAAACATACCCCAGGAACTCAAGGTAAACCCGGTGACTAAAAAAGGTGAATTCACTCTCCCTGCTTCCTCTCCACAGTCCCTACACACAGCCATCCTTGCCTTTCCACCTTCTGGCCACGTTAGAGCATGAAGCACTCACAAACACATTTCCCTGTGCTCCCGGTTGGCTTGACTAACCCAGCCCTCTCTTCTTGCCTCAGGAACTTGGGACTTTCAGCCTCCACAGGATAGGTGGTGCCTCGATGCTGACAGGAACCTGGACTCTGGAGAAGCTGAGAGGTAACAAGAGGCTTCTTTTTCCCAAGATTGCAGCTGATGGAGGCCGAGCCAATGGAGTTGGCCACACACGCAGAAGCTTCTCCCACTCAGTCTTCCTCCATACCCTCCTCAAGCCACTTTAAATACTGTACATCTCCATGGTCCATGGGAAGACTGAAGACTTCCGGGATTTCAAAAGGATGGATCAACCTTGGGAAAGAAAGCACACCCCGGCGAGGGATGATGATTAGAACCAACCCATGCTAAAAAGCCAGATGGCCAGCTCCCAGGAGGACCCCAACAGTCTGCCATGGCCATCCTGTCCTGCAGTTGCTCAGCACTCCCGAGCCCAGGTCTCATCTGTTAACAGGTGGGCCAGAAGGCTTAAGGGTCTCACAGATATGGGATCAAACTCCAAGTCTGCCCTGAGCAACTGTGGGAGAGACTAGGGGAAAGTTACTAAATGTTTTCTTCAAAGGCCCCTGAAATACAGGAAATAGGAATATCCACATGATTGGGTTATTGAGGGTTAAATAAAGCAAGGTATACAGACCACTGATCATTATATCAACTGGCACTGCATGCATTCAATAATCACCCTCCCATAACATTGCTATTCCTTTCCTGAACAGCCCTCTCCCAACTCTTTTGACTTCTTTTCCCCACCTAGAAAACTCTCCTCGCTCCTACTGGTCAATCAGATGTTGCTCTACCGCCTCAATACCCAGCTTAACCACTGATCTTTTCTAAGGAGCTTTCCCTGAGTTCTCAAGCCTGCAGTAACCTCTGTCTCCTCATCATGTGGTACAAGTTCCCTTTGCTTTCCCCGGCTGATGAAACATGAGGACTTGGATCTCAGCTCGCCATCTGTCTAATGAGGGTTCTAGTCCATGCTGTGAAGTACTTCACAGTTCCAATACACATCACAATCTATTAGTATGATCCTGATTTTATAGGTGGGGCAGTTGAGACATACAAAGTATTACTATCTTGTAGGCACTTTCGCTACAACTAGCAAGTGTGTGGTGGGCATGTTTTGACATGGGTCAAGCTCTGAACCAAGACAGTGTCCACCAGTAAGGCTGTAATTTCTCAGCAGTGATGGCTCTACCAGAGGTGTCTCCTTTCCTCCCTTGTGCTAAAGTGGTGCTAGGGGGACCTTTTCCATAGCTAGATTTAATAGAATCCTAGTTCTCCCAGATGTGAAGGGAAGGAATTTTATCATCCAGATAGATGGCTCACATCCTTGGCTATATGTCAGAAGCAACTCAGTCCCCACTCCAGCCAACATAAATCAGAATGTGTGAGATGGACCTACATTGGTATGTTTGAAAATATCACTAAGTGATTGTGATATTTAGCCAGCATTGAGAACCACTGGATCTGACCAGTGCTTCTCTCTCTCTCTCTCTCTCTCTCTCTCTCTTTTGTGGCAATCCTCTCTTTTTTTTTTTTCATGATTTTTACATAGCTAGTTAGGATGATAAGGGTCAAGGGCTACAGGAAGGTGAGTGAGACCATTATTTCCATATTCTCTTTTTTTCCTTCCTGTTTCTGGAGGAAGGAGGGTGATAAGGGGGGTGAGAAGCCACACCCACCCTCCCAAATGCCTCTGTATCCTTGAATGGAGGACAGTCCCACGCACTACCCTAGGGTCCCCAATGTGGGGCATGCTCCAAGGGTCTTGCTCAAGAGGTTTGGATAGTGTAACAGTTCTGAATTACTACCGATCTCACCACTCCAAACACGATGAAATCTCTCCAGAATCCACTGGTTGATATAGTCCACCTTAGAGTCTCCATTTGCCCAGATAGTCAAATTGATCAACTCCCCCAGCCAAGTGCTGGCAGTGAATATCTGGACTAGTGGCTTTCACAGGGAAGACTGCTGGCCTTAGGAGTTCTTTGAGACTCTTCATGGGGTCTATCAGCCAAACCACTTTCGTAACAATTTTACTTCGTTAGTTACCGTTGTATTTATTGGGCTGACAGTTACACTGATGGTAGCTGATGGAATGCAACAATGGGTGAAACTGCAGCCACATTAGCATGAGCCAAGACAGTGGCATCAACCTGTACTTGCTGTCACCGTGTTCTTCCCCAGCACACTTCCATCTCAGTTTCACTTGACATTATGGTCAAGTTATACAAGTTTCCATTTTTATTAAATGTCAACCTTTGAAAAAAAAATGACCTTTTTAACATTCTGTGTGGTAAAATGGAAAGCACACAGAAAGCATGTCTGCTCTATACCTAGATTCACTGCTTGATATAGGCTTGTCCGAGTCATACACTAGTCACTCTGGGGTAAGCACCGTTTCGCTTGCACCCTGAACAAACCAGTCTGCTGTTTTAAACAATTACTTCACTATCAAGGAGACATTTTCCCAAACACAAAGGTATGATGCTCAGATGAAAACACCGTAGAGCAAAAATTGTTGCCAAGGATGAAATTCCTATTCTTAAGCAAAAACTAAAGTTTTGGAAATTTGGAATTAATCACTATGAGCTTAAAAATCATACCAACATTTAAAGATGCTTTTGAAGAGAGCTCATTGTCTTATTAAGCCAAATTCTACAAAAAAAAAAAGTCAGATACTATCATCCTCACTTAATTCATTTATAGAAAATATGGTTACTTTCCATTAAAATACATTATGTTAGTACATAATGGTCTCAGTTCATTTAAATGAATTAAAATTTTTAAATCTCTCAGCTCTAATGTCTGACATAACAAGCACTAATGCAAACCACAAATAAAATTGTTTAGTGTATCAGTCTTTATGCATGTAAAGGCCTCTAATATTTAGAGACCGACTGGTTTGAACGGTCTTATTCTATGAAACCCCAATTGACACACGGACAATCTGAGGCTCACAGAGGGACAAGGACTTGTTCAGGGGCATACACAGGTTGGTGGAGAGACCACACATCTCCACTTGGCAAGCTCACTCACTTAATACCCAGTCCAGCCCAGGCTGGCCCCGTGGTAAACACACGTGAACAGAGGCAGCCTTACCTGATATAGCTGGACAACAGAAGGACCTTGGAAGTCTTTGTTTTGATTAACTGTGAGAGAAGGAAACACAGTCACTGCTGGCAGCACCTGGGCCCAGCTCTGCCACCGCACCTTCATCCGGCGTACAGGAGACAGCACTCCTCCCACCCAGCTCACCAGGCCCTGTCTCCAGCAATTTTTTTTTTTAAGATCTATTTTATTTTTATTGGAAGATCAGATATACAGAGAGGAGGAGAGACGGAGGAAGATCTTCCGTCCGATGATTCACTCCCCAAGCAGACATAACGGTTGGAGCTGTGCCTACCCAAAGCCAGGAACCCAGAGCTTCTTCCAGGTTTCCCACGTGGGTGCAGGGTCCCAAGGCTTTGGGCCATCCTTGACTGCTTTCCCAGGTCATAAGCAGGGAGCTGAATGGGAAGCGGGGCTGCCGGGATTAGAACAAGTGCCAATACGGGATCACAACGGGTGCAAGGCGAGGACTTCAGCCACTAGGCTACTGCGCCAGGCTCTGTCACCAGCAATTTTACAGAAAGGTCTTGGCCTCAGCCCGCAATCTCCTTCCCTCACTCTAACCCCATCCTCACTCACCAACAGGATCTCAGTGGCTTCTTCAATTTCTCCTTTCCAAAAGTACCTGGAGGAGAGAACAAAATCAAATTATGATATTTACAAGAGGAACCCAGTGGAGTGTCAACTGGCCTAAGTAGGTGATTAAGAAGACACTTCTAAAAAATCTGTCCAAGTCTACAGAAAGTCTTGAACTGGCCAGATCTCCAGAAGTCATCCAGCCCAACCATTCTGATATGGCTGGAACATTCCTGAAGATGGGAGGTTCACTACCACTCGAGGCCTACAAGTGAGATGTTTTACTCTTGTGGTATGCTACCATCTGCCTCAGGTTTTTTTCCTTAACAGGCTGCGGGAAGGCACACCCTAGCTCGGCCCTGTGGAAATGTCTAGGCCTCCTCACCTCCAAACTGGGCAAATGAATGCTAAGGCCTTCCAGTCCTTTTGTGCCGGCAGTATGGTTTTTTGTTTGTTTGCTTGCTTGCTTTGTTTTGTTTTTGTTTATAAGATTTTATTTATTTTTATTTGAAAGTCAAATTTTACAGAGAGAAGGAGAAACAACGATCTTCCGTCTGTTGGTTCATTCCTCAAACGGCCACAATAGCCAGAGCTGAGGCAATCTGGAACCAGGAGCTTTTTCTGGGTCTCCCAGGTGGGCAAAGGGTCCCAAGGCATTTGGCCATCCTCCACTGCTTTCCCAGGGTACAAGCAAGCAGCTGGATGGGAAGTGCAGCAGCTAGCACATGAACTGGCACCCATGTGGAATTTTGGCACTTATAGCTGGAAGGATGAACCAATTGAGCCATTGTGCCATGCCCTCCTCTGATCCTGCCCGCCCTCCCCTCCACCGCCATGCACTTGCACTACTTTAACACTGGCTCTTAAAGTCACATATCCACTGGCAAATAAAAAACTCAGTTCACGGGGAAAAGTAAGCCTTATTAAAGAGCCAAAGTTTTAGAAGCTGAAAAGTCAGTGATAATGTTCAGCAGACAGTATGAGGACAGCATCACAGGAGAGGAAAGAAATTTAGCATGGAAAGACCATGGACACTCAGGGCAAACCATGGATGACCAAGGCTACAGGCCTGTCTGTGTCACAGGACCGTGGTAAAAGGATCGTTCACAAGCAAAAAGGAACATGTGGCTGAATGAAATTCCAGTCCAGTTCCCAGACACAGGCTCCTGCGTGGGCTGAACATCAATCACCTGTATGTACAACCTTTACAAACTCAGAAACTTGGACCCCACTTCAGAGAGACTGAGTGGACCTGGGTTGGAGGTCCCAGATTGAAAACGTGGCTATACCCAGGTGCCACACGCAGGTCTAGATGGTGTCCACCACTCAGGGATTGACAGCATCGGGGGTAAAGGTGGGCTTTCATTATATAGCACTTTCCTCTTCTTGCCTACAAAAAGCACATGCTTTCTCTCTCTTTTGGGAGTAGAGAAGAAAAGAGAATGATTGGGTAGAATAAGACATAAAACTCCTGCACAGCCTGTGCTGGGAGGCAGAAAGAACTTAACAAGGAAAATGGAGAGGCCAAGTGTTTGCAGTCTGAAGGAAAGACAGCCAGTACCTGTGCAGCCATGCACATATGCTGAATTCCATTTTTTTCCCAAGAACCCCAAGGCCATAGAAATTGTTTTCTCTGACACCCCTTCTTGGCTTACAAATATGAATATTTATTTGGCTGCTAACTTCTCATTACACAGAAGACAGAGTATTCAGATTGCAAATTGTATGTAAATAACCTCAAATTACAATATAGGTAATCTACCTAATCTCCCCCTAATCTGCCCCCAGCAGATGACCTTGCCTGTCAAAAGCTGTTAGCATCACTCATTTCAGTCTGTTTGTATATCTGTGAATCTCTATGTTTAGGGGTCTCCATCATTACAAATTTAATATTTGCCTAGGCGCTGCCTCATAAAGACAAAACCTATTTTTTATAATTTCTGTTCATTATTAATTCAATTTTTCTTTCTTGCCCACAGACAATTCTCTGGCCATTTGGTTTCTATCATGTGTATATTAGGATGGGATGCCTAACATGACTTCCTTGCTAACAACAGGTTAACTAATTTGATCAACAAATGTGCAAAACAACATTATCTCTAAACTGTGGTGTCCCCTCCTCCCTTCTCTACACAAAAGCTACTTTCACTTCTCTTCGATGACATGAACCTACGGATGGATTCACCTCCTCTAAACATCAGTTGTCAACTGCTGACCGATTAAATGTCACCGAGTTACTTTTTGACAACCCCGTTGGTTCACTTGCTTCCCATCAGCCAGAACCTGACCCCAGCATTCCCCTCCCCCTGAGTGAACCTGGCAAAACTCACAGTGAAGCAGCTCTGGGCAGGATGTTCACAGAGGCAGCCAGCTTCTTATCCAGTATCGCTCTAAGAAAAAGGGAGAGGATGGCAGTCACGAAGGAAGAGCCATGATCTTCAGCGATGGGGGATTACCCAGGAAACCAGAGTCTAAGTAGGCAGCTGCATGGCTTGGGTGTCCCCTTGACCGCATATTCATATGTCATAAACATAATCCCTCGATTACTATATTAATGATATTTGAGGATGGGATTTGAGGAGGTGATTAGGATTAGATGAGGTCCTGAGGATGGGCACTGGTGGCTTCATAAGAGGAGGTGCGCTTGCTCATAGCTCCTGGCGATATACTCCACGTGTGATGGAGCAGGAAGAAGACCTTTACCATGCTAGTGCCATGCTCTGGGACTTCCCAGACTGTAGAGCTATAAACCAAACAAGCTTTTATTATCTGTAAATTAGCCAATCTGTGATGGTTCTAGCAACAGAAAATGCACATTAGATATCACCTCATGACCCTCCTCACTCGAAGTAGCATATTCCATAACCACCACACACTGCCCTGAAGGCAGAGTAGATTTTGTTTCAGCATTAATTTACTTATTTGTTTGAAAAGCAGACTTCCAGAAAGAAAAGAGAAGGAGAGAGAGGGGCCCGGAGGTGTGGCCTAGCAGCTAAAGGATCCTCGCCTTGAATGCGCCAGGATCCCATATGGGCGCCGGTTCTAATCCCGGCACCTCCACTTCCCATCCAGCTCCCTGCTTGTGACCTGGGAAAGCAGTCGAGGATGGCCCAAAGCTTTGGAACCCTGCACCCATGTGGGAGACCTGGAAGAAGTTCCTGGCTCCTAGCTTCGGATCGGCATAGCATCAGCCATTGCGCTCACTTGGGGAGTGAATCATCAGATGGAAGATCTTCCTCTCTCTCTCTCTTCTTCTCTGTATATCTGACTTTCCAATAAATAAATAAATCTTAAAAAAAAAGGCGAGAGAGATCTTCATCTACTGATTTACCCTCTAAATGGTCACAATAGCCAGGGCTGGGGCAGAATACACAGACAGTTAATAAACCAATTAAAAATCAGTATTTTAAAATAAGTATGGGGATGGACATTTGGCCTACAGTTTCTGACATCTGCATCCCATATCAGAGTTGCCTGGCTGCTGATCTTAGCTTCTTGTCATGTGCACCTAGGGAAGCAGCAGGTAATGGCTCAAGTAGCTGATTTCTGCCACCCATGTGGGAGACCTGGACTGAATTCCTGGTTCCTGGCTTCCAGCTGGACTCAGCTCCAGATACTTTGGCTGTCTAGGGTTAAACAAAAGGATAGAAGATTCTCTCTCTGTCTCTCTAACTGCTTTTCAAATAAATGTGCACCAAAAAATGGAATTAAAAGAACTTAAATGTGTGTGTGTGTGTGAAGAATGCTGAATTACAAAGCAAGAAGGAATTGAAGTGCCAAACCCACTACCTCCCTGTCCCATTAACCTTCAAGGCTGCATCTACAGAGTGGAAAAGGGAGAAAATTCTGACATTTACTAAGCATCTACTACATTGCATGTAGTGAGTCTACCCTGTATATATTTCCTATCATTTAATCTCCCAACCATTCTTAAGGAAGGTGGTATTGTACCCCTACAAATTTAGGAAATTCACACTGAAAGGAAAGAAATGATTTGCCCAAGACAACCCAGTAAGAAGCAGCATCAAGATTCAAACCCTGGCTTAATTCCAAGTCTAGCCCACCTCTTTCCATCCTCAGTGGCTTCTAGAAAGACTCCTTCTTACTTGTCCTGAGTTCTTCTAGCATTGAGCAAAGAGAACTGCTCCATGAAGACAGTTGAGCCAACAAATAGGAGACCTGAATTCCCAACCCCCAGGGTGACACTGTTGTCTGACCTTTACACATTGAGTAAACCACCCAACCCTATAGGTCTCCCATCTGTTTTATCCCATTATGTGTCACTCAGCATCTCTAGGCCCAGCTGTAGCATGATTAGGGGAGCATTTAGCTATGTTCCTGTCACCTCAACCAGACAGGTGTGTTTTTACCACTGGATCAAGGGGGTTGTCAGAACATAGAGAAAGATCCCAAGTAGCCTGTGGAGCATCCCGTACCTCCCTGAACCATCCAGGAGCCCTCTGGTCTCTTCACCTTACCTGGCAATGTCTTTGGCAATTTGCTCGTTGGGACAGTTGACAAAGACAATGGAGTGGGTGCCAGAAACATAGCTGCCAGTGATAGCTGAGTGCAGCTGCAGGCTAATGGTCCTGAGCATGGGGTACATTAGGAAGGAAGTGGTCAGGATCTGTGTGGTGGAAAAAGGAGAGGAGGAGTCAGCAGAAACATCCCCAATCCAATGCTTTACAGCTCAGGCAGGCTGCAACCAATGCTGCGACTATCTTTTCATCTCTACTTCCCACCTGCAAAATAATTACCAAGATCTGCATTGAGCTTTAGTGCTTAAATTACTGCTGATAGGAGAAGAAAATGGAGGCTCAAAAGTAAAGAAATTTGCTCAGAGAGTCTGTCTTCCAACTGAGGAAGCCATGCTAAAGACTCAAGTTTGAATGACTTGAAATCCATTTTTTTTTTTTTAATATATCAGACAAAACTGCTGCTGGAGGAAATACCAAGTGGCATCAACTGAACTGTTATGCTCCTGGAGATTACAAATAAGCTCTTAAATCTATTGATATAATAGAAAGTAACTTCACCTCCATTCATGTGGTATATATACCAGAGACTGTCCAGTCTTGTGGAAACCACAGGCTTGCAAACAAACTCCTTTTAAAGCAATGAAACCCGTGCTTGTGTAACTGAGAACTGCAAGGAGCAAGGCAGGCAAAGGCTTCAAAGAGAAGGTGCTGAGTTGAATGTGAAATAATGAGGACTAGAGGAAGAGGGGGCACATTGCGGGGGATAAAGGATACTATGTGCGAACTCAACAAGCATTTAAGGACACATGAAATAGTGCATCTGCAGACCCCTCAGTGTACAGTGGAGGGTGAGTGTGAAAAAGTCAGGAGGAAATTAGCCAGAATTGAAAGCAAAGGGTCACACCAAGGGGTTTGAGGCCTGTACTCAGGTGAGAAGATGCCCTTAGAAGTCTAAGCAGGTGAGTGATAATATGGTCAAACCGAATAGAGAAATAGAAATGGGCAGACTAAGAATGAGCAGAAGGCAGCCTAGGTAGAAAGGCATTTCAATGACTCATGAAAAAGACATTAAAATCCTTAACCAAGGGAGTAGGTAGTTGGCACCATGATTCAATGCCACTTAGGATGCCAGCATTCCACTACTGTAGTATCCAACCCAGTCTCCTGTTAAGGCACACACCTTGCTAAGCAGCAAGTAATGGTTCAAATATTTGGGTCCCTGCCATCCACAGGGAAGATCTGGATGGAATTTCAGACTTCTGAAGACGACCTGGCCCAGCCCTAGCTGTTGGAGGTGTTTGGGGAATGAATCAGCAGATGGAAGATCTCTCACTCAGCTGTTCAAATAATTAACATAAACCAAAACAAATTATCAGCTAAGAATCACATGCAAAGATCAAACTTTTCCTACTATTTTAAGAGAAAACATATAAAATGTAAGAAAATGAGCATGAGGACACCTTCCATTCCAGGGTTCCCTGCTTCGGGCGGCAGGAGGAGGGGGTGGGATGCAATACAATGGAGCTATTAACAGGGATAGCAGGAACTTGCAAGGAGTCAGACTGTGGCTTAGCGGAGGTTGAACAGGAGCCTGCTTCTCTCACCTCGGCCCCCGGCTCACGCTCTGCTCAAATGCACCTCTGTCCTCCCACTCCTTCCCAGTGTTGCCTGGGTCCTGGCTCCTTACTCCTGGCAGGGCCTGAGAGGTGTTTTATGTCTTTAGCTTCGGTATGACTGCAGGCCTGTCTGGGTTGGGTTTTGCATTCCTTCCCTCTCTCCTACTCATGTCTCCAATTCAGCACACTACATTAGTCCTCTGAAGTAAAACAGGGATTGTGCAAGAACGGGAAAAAAGAAGAAATACCAGGCATTTCAGAAAAGTTTTACTGATTTTTTTTAGGATGACAATATGAATCATACCATAACAGAGGGGAAAAAAGCACTATGAAGCAGAATTTTTTTTAAGATTTATTTATTTTTGGGCCCGGCGTGGTGGCGCAAGTGGTTAAGGTCCTCGCCTTGCACGCCCGGGAGCCCATATGGGCGCCGGTTCTAATCCCGGCAGCCCCGCTTCCCTTCCAGCTCCCTGCTTGTGGCCTGGGAAAGCAGTCGAGGACGGACCAAAGCTTTGGGACCCTGCACCCGCGTGAAAGACCCGGAAGAGGCTCCTGGCTTCGGATCAGCATAGCATCGACCGTTGCGCTCACTTGGGGAGTGAATCATTGGACGAAGATCTTCCTCTCTGTCTCTCCTCTCTGTATATCCGCCTTTCCAATGAAAAAATAATAAAAATAAATCTTTAAAAAAAAAATTTAAAAAAAGATTTATTTATTTTTATTTGGAAAGGCAGATAGAGAGAAGGAGATACAGATAGAAAGCTCTTCCATCGTCTGGTTCACTCCCCAAATGATTACAATGGCTGGAGTTGAGACAATCCAAAGCCGGGAACCAGGAACATCTTCCAGGTCTCCCACGTGGGTGCAAGGTGCAAGGGCCCAAGGCTTTGGGCCATCCTTGACTGCTTTCCCAGGCCACATGCAGGGAGCTGGATGGGAAACGGAGATGCCTGGACTAGAACTGGTGCCAATATGGGGTCCTAGCACATTCGAGGCGAGGACTTTAGCCATTAGGCCATGCCACGCGGGGCTGAAGCAGAATTGAAACCCTAGGTCCAGGGCAGGCATTTGATGTATAGGATGGGCACACCCCACCAGAGGACTCAAGTGTGAGTCCCACCTCTGATTCTCACATCAGCTGCTTGCTAAAACACAGAGACAGCTCAAGCCATTTGGGGCCTGCTACTCTCAAAGGAAACCCACACTGAGTTTCCAGGCGTGGCCCTGCCTTGTGTGGACATTTGGAGAAGTGAAACACCAGACAGAAGCCATCTGTCTCTATCTCCTCTACCTTCCAAATAAGTGTAAAAATAAATAAATAAATAAATAAAATAATTTGGAAAGTTTTAAATCCTAAGGCCAGTATTGCTAGTTGTCTGTAGCCTTTGGTAAGTTACTTCTTCTCTCCCTTCCATAAACATTCAAGATTGGAAATCTTGACACTTGGCTACGTATTTCACCAATGCCAAGGGTTCAAACAAGATAAGGACAGCAACATGTGATCACTGAATCAAGAAACAGACTGGGCTTTGCTCACCATTGTTCCTTCCAGCACCATCCATGGCACATAGAAGGATCTCTTTAAGTACAGACTACTGAATACACCAGTAAAACACCGCTACTAAGACTTAGCTAGATTTGCCAGTTAGGTCACCCAGTATAAGCAGGGCTTTTGGCAGTGAACAGGATACATGGGCACACTGCCAGCCGTGCAGCTACATGACGTCAAAGGCAACCCTCAGAAGACCACTCCTTTTCAAGCTTCAATCATTCTGGCAAATCTCAGTTTGGGGAGACTTGACTCCCCGACACATTTGGCAATGTCTGGAGACCGTATCACCACCGCCAGGACATCAGAAGAGGTGCTGCTGGCATCAGTGCACACGGGACTACTGTTAAACGTGCTTCTGACCACACCGCCACCCACAGTCCCTTTTCTATGCCTCCCCCTCTTCATGTCTGTATTTTCAGCACCCTACCGCTCCTGGCAAAGATTATATGCCTGAAAAATGCTTGCGGGCCACGTCAGCAACATATCAGAAGCAGGAGAGTTCAACATGATATCGTGCTGGTCTACAACAGACTTTATAGTAATGCAAAATCGATGGGAAATGCAAACATCACAACACGCCCTAACCTTTTTCTTGACAGGAAAAAGAGCTTCAACAGATTTTTAAAGAAAAGCTTCTTTAAGATGGCATTTTTTTAAAAATTTCTTTTACTACAGCTACAGGTCTTTTCTTTTCTTTTTTAATTTACCCCATCCTTAGAAAACACTTCCTGTGTAACTTTTTGATGATTTCCTATTTCATGTGCCTTTCTCTCCCAGCGTGTCTGCATCAGGAGGTTCGGGGTAGATCCGACTTCCTGTGGGAAGGCAGAAGGGGCCTCACCGATTTACCTAGCCTGGTGGCATGGAACTTTTCAACCTCCTAGGATCAAAAAATCTGTAAATGCCTTCAAAATGAATACAACACTGAGTTTGCACATTTCCCTAGAACTTAAAGAAAAAAAAAAAAACCAAAACAGGAGTTCGCTTAAATTTCAAAGGGGGGAAATCACCCACAAAGTGAGCAACAGAACCGGGCTCCAATCCATGGCTTCTGATTCTCCACCACAGAGCTTCCCACCTCCCCGCTCCACTACCGGGGTTACTCTGTACCCACCTAACACCTGCCACTTTAAAGTGGTTCCGAGAGGAGAAAGAGGCCCCAGGAAACGGCAGACAAGTGAGGTGGTAACGGTAGTTTCAAAAGAAAAGGAATCTATCTGGGGCCACTAAGTTCTCACAACTTCCCAGGACTCCCCTTTTCTCCACCCTAGTTGTGAAACCCAATCCAGGCCCCTTGTCCCAAGGCAGGGAGAGCAGATGTGCGGAGAACCTTGATAAGTCACTCCCACAATCCCCAGGACACCTAGAAGTGTCTCTAAGCTTTTTCCCTGCTAGCCTCTTGCCTGCCTCCAGTCCAAGCCCAGAAGCAATGCAGACAAACCTTCACCCTTATTCCCAGCCCCCACCCACCCAGATGAAGCTACAGAGTGAGGTGGCGCGCAGCGTCACAGCATAGGGCACTCACCAGCAGGCACAGAAAGATAGGGGGCCTCGGACAGCCTGGCGGAGCGCACCAAGCGCTTGGCTTGTCCATGGCGTCCCTGGTAGGTCGGGGATACAGCTGCAGCTAATGACGCTCTCGGGCTAGGTGCGGCTGCTGGGCGGGCACCGTCCTTAACGGCCCTCTCTTAGTGCCACCTGTGGCCTGCTCCGCTCCGCCCCAGACCCGCTGCCTACCCTCGGGCACGCCCCCGGCGCCGCCGGCACCAGCTGGCTCCATCCTGCCTCAGCCCCGCAGAAGACTGTTAAAGGGGGCCCACAAAAAAAGGATTTTCACGGGGCACTCCTTACTCTAGAAATTCACAGTTCCGGCGCCACAGGTGTGCCTGCAACCCTGCAAAAATCTACTTTCCCATTCAAACAAAAATCACAGAATTCTCAAAGTCGTACAGGACACAAGACCCCCAGAAACCCACAGATCACATAAACAACTCAACCACTCAAAACAGCTTCTCCGTTTCCACCCGTCCATCAGGATCTTCCTGTAAGTCTCCAGTGCCTTAAGGTGTGCTTGCTACCTCCTCCTCTCCTCAGGGAACCCACTGCTCTTGCCAGGTTGACTGCTCCAGGTAGGCTTTCCCAGAGTTCATCCCACAGTCCTCCCCCATAATGCACTTGGCGGGCACGTCAGTTGACTCAGTTGGTTAATGTTAACCACGGAGACCTGCAAAAAATAAAAGCAGCAAGACAGCTGTGGCTCTTTGGGAATGCAGTGTTCACCGTTGCCAGGGCTTCCAAATTCTTTTTTTAGGATTTATTTATTTTTATTACAAAGTCAGATATATACAGAGAGAGGTGAGAGAGATAGAAATATCTTCCATCCGATGATTCACTCCCCAAGGGACCAAACGGCCACTGCTGCACCAATCTGAAGCCAGGAGCCAGGAACTTCCTCCAGGTCTCCTACACGGGTGCAGGGTCCCAAGACTTTGGGCCATCCTCAACTGCTTTCCCAGGCCACAAGCAGGGAGCAGGACAGAAAGTGGAGCTGCTCAGATCAGAACCGGCGCCCATATGGGATTCTGGCAGTGCATTCAAGGCGAGGACTTTAGCCACTAGGCCACGGCGCCGGGGCCCCATGGGCTTCCAAATTCTTAATACCTTTTTCTTAAGGTGAAATTTCCAAACTTAAAAACGGTAGCAGGTGCAGGTGTTTAGTGGTTAAGATGCATGTGGGTTCAATCCCTAGCTCCAGCTTCCCACTGATGAAGACCCTGTGAGGTGGTGGTGACAGCTCAAGTAACTGGGTCCCTGTCATTCACTCAGGAGACCTGGTTTGAGTCCAGGCTCTAGGCTTTGGTTGGCCACTAGGGGAATGGAGAGGAATGAATCTGAATAAGAGCATGAACTCACTTTCTAACAAATAAATACTTTATAAACAATGGGGAGACTGCACAAAGACACACCCATGCTAAGTGTTCTGGATCTTATGGTGTTGATGATTGCATAAGTATTCTAAATTCCAACCAACTGCACACTTTTTTTAGACGAATTTCACTGTGTAAGAATTAGATCTTTTGGGTACAGTGCAGTAGCCTATTGGCTAAAGTCCTGTCTTGCACAAGTCAGGATCCCATTTGGGTGCCAGTTCATGTCCAGGTGGCCCTGCTTCCCGTCCAGCTCCCTCCTTGTGGACTTGGAAAGCAGTCGATGACAGCCCAAGCTTTGGGACCCTACGTCCACACGGGAGACCCAGAGGAGGTTCCTGGCTCCTGGTTTCAGATTGGCTCAACTCTGGCCATAGGAGCTACTTGGGGAGTGAGCCAGCAGATGGAAGATCTTCCTCTCTGTCTCTTCTCCTCTCTGTACATCTGACTTTCCAGTAAAAATCTTTTTAAAAAATTGTACTTTGGGACTGGAGCAATGGCTCAGTAGCTAAATCTTTACTTTGCAAGTGCCAGGATCCCATATGGGTGCCAGTTTATGTCCCAGCTGCTCCATTTCCCTTCCATCTTCCTGCTTGTGGCCTGGAAAAGCAGCAGATAATCATACAAAGCCTTGGAACCCTGCACTCACATGGGACACCCCATGGAAGTTCCTAGCTCCTGACTTGGGATCAGTTCAATTTTGGTTGTCACGGCCACTTGGGAGTCACCCAGTGGATGAAAGATCTTTCTGTCTCTCCTTCTTTCTGTAAACCTGCCTTTCAAATGAAAATAAGTAAATCTTTTTTTTTTTTAGATTTATTTTTATTATTTTTTTTTATTGGAAAGGCGGATATATAGAGAGGAGAGACAGAGAGGAAGATCTTCCGTCCGATGATTCACTCCCTAAGTGAGGAATGCTGCCATGTTTCTTTCAAAGTGAGGGTTCTCCCGCACCAACCCTCCGCAGTCAGCAAAGTGGTCAAACATATGTGTTGATGTAATACCTCCTGCATGATTCTGTTACGCCCTGGTCCATGTCATTCCAAGGCAAAAACATAATACCAACATTTAAAGGAACTCAGGAATCCACGTGATTGGGGCCTCTGTCCTCAATTAGCACTGAGTTAAACAACTTTGGGCTTCATAGGGTAAAACTCCGGCGAAGCCAGCCCCCAAAGAGGCTAGTGGTTACTGATATTGTCAGGTGTGATTGCCAGAAAACAGACTAGGGTCTTTAAAATGTATTAACTTTTTTTTGTCTTCGGAGGCACTGGGACAAAAACACATTGGAAACTTTGTCTTTAACCACTTCTAAACTGTTTACATGTCTATTTTCCTACATTATAAAGAGGACACATTTCCCAAATCGGGTCATTTTGGCGCTGAAGATCTTGAAGGTGCAGAGCCTTTAGCTCAGGGCAGTCTCGCCAGTGGCTGGTACACCTGGGTATAGGAATGGCCATTTAACCCTCCCCTTCCCTCCGCTAATTTTGCTGACAGTAACCACTTTCAGACTTCTAACCCCACCCTGGTTTGCATTATCTGGAGTGTCCTGGAGAGTGGCCCCAACCATATGCCTACAGGGGGATTTGATCCGATTGCAAATGACCGTCAGCTTCAGAAGACTCCCCTGTAAGGCCGCGCGGAGTGGAGTGGGGACAGCCTTACCGATCCACGAGAATATGTGTCACCCCAATGATCAGCGAAGACAGGCTTGATGCAAAAGCAGGAGGGTTTATTCAGATGCCAGCGCGCTGGGACGGAGGTCAGTTCCTCACGCAGGAGGATGACACATCCGTGCTGCTCGCTGTACATTACCCAGTTTTTATAGATCAAGTTTTGCTGGCACAATAGGTTAAAAACTAAATTTAGAACAAAACTAGGAACTTTCTAAAGAGCTCAAACATCACATAGTCGTGGGAGTTTACAATGCAGGGCTGAATAAACATTGCATAGCCATAAAACTAGGAAGTCACAACACAGGGCTGAATAAACATTGCATAGCCATAAAACTAGGAAGTTACAATATAGGGCTGAATAGTCATTGACATTAGGAATTCATTTCTATTTTTTGTCACCTTTGAGCTTCTCTAATTTTGGGAACTTCCTTTACACCAATTGTCTCCTGGAAAACAAGTCTTGGGAACATTTTTATCTTTCAATTGTCTCCTGGAATACAATTCTTGGGAGCATTCCTATCCTCCAATGGTCTCCGGAATATATGGTGCCTTTGCACGTTGTTCTCTTAAATCATTTACCAAAGACATCTTATTCAGCTATTCTTAGCAAGCAAAGTGTAGGAAGCAAAGAAGCAAATTAAACTTTTCTACTCTAAATCTAAATTCTTCTATTCTGAACTTTTCCCTTCATTCCCCCCTTTTTCTTGTAACTAAATCCCAATCATGGGATTTCAACCTCTTCATCTTGAGAATTTACCCATTGATATTGTTGTCTTAATATTAAAACTTGCACAGTACTAATTCTTTCTCTAATAAAGGCAATCAAGCGGTTAAAAATGCAAGGACCAATAATTAGTAATAGTAATAGAATTAGGAGAGGCCTTATTAAGGTGGAAATAAGGGTGGTCAGCCATGGAGACTGGTTTAACCAGGATTCAAACCATCCCTGTTTGTCTCTGTGTTCCCATTTTCGTTGATCTAATCTTTCTTTTAATTTTTTCATAGTGTCTTTTACGACTCCCGAGTGATCTATATAGAAACAACACTCTTCTTTTAAAGCTGCACATAAGCCTCTTTGTTGGAGGAAGACTAAATCTAGCCCTCTTCTGTTTTGGAGAGCTATTTCTCATAAGGAGGTTAAGGATTCCTGAAGTTTAGAGATCGAGTCTTCTAGTGCTCGTATGTCCTCTGCCACTAAGCTCTGGAGTTCTGACATTTTGGAGTCTTGGGTGGTTATAGCTGCGACCCTGGTCCCAATTCCAGCTGCTACTCCGAGACCTAATAAAACTGCTAAAGTAATTGATATTGGCTCTCTTTTAATCCTAGTTTCTTGTAGAGCATTAAAGAAATTATAATCTGGATGATAAATTATTCTTGGATACACACGGACTAATACATAATAATTAGAGGTCAAATTCAATACTTCGAGGGAGAGAACAGGTGTTAATTTACTATCATAGGCCCACTACCCATCTGTGGGTGCTGCAATATATTCTTCGCCTGGAACCCTCGCTTGGTCGGCGCAAAGGTGGTGATGGGTGATGGGCACATTTCTTAGGCACAATCTTTTACCTGAAACCATTGCCAAAGTAAATTTGGTCGGTTTTGGACTAGTGTCCATAGATGCGACAGGATCTATAATTAAAACTTGTTGAGACTGATTCCATGCCATGGCCTCATAATAGAGAGGGGCAATATCATAACAAAGCCAGTAACTCTGTGTAGCCTCTGGATTAATAGCATTTGAAACTATAAAAGCTTTATCTATTATTCGTAACAGGACAGTTTTATCTGATGACCAGTCACTAATAAGTAAGACAAGATTAATTTAAGAGAAGTAAAAAAAACCTGTTGCTTTGACAAAGAATCAGATTTCAATTTCATTGTACCAAAGATGAACATTAAAAAAATGTTGTATACAATATGTTCAATCATACTATACATCTTTTAAGAACTTGCTGTCTTCTTGTAAGACAAAATTTCACAAA